TCCACAGGTTTTTAAAAATAATTATTCAAGTTAAATTCCTTTAGGTTGTTAGATTTTCCTCCCTTTTTTGAGAAATAAAACTTCTTTTAAGGTTACAACTGTTATTTGCTGTTAACACCTTATGATCGTCGTGCTAGTGTCTTGAGGAAGTTCACTTGTCAAGCAGTAGACCATGGTTTACGGATCTTTTCAAGGCTTTATTTTGAAGAATCTGTTTCACCTGGACTCTTCCTTTGCAAGATAAGTAGAATGGAATACACATTGTTCAGGTGTTTAGCTATTCTCCATATTAGGTTATAGATGCCCTGAGTATCTAATATAATGGTAATTAGAAAGGTTTGGTTGACTAAATCTCTTTCCCCTCTTTCTGTGGGTGGTAGAATCCCTCTATGTGCTCCACCTACAACCTCATCTAGTTCTATTGATCAAATCAATCGGGGGTTCTTCAGAGAAGGTTTTATTTTGTCTTTGTTTCTTGAGGACGGAAGTCTTGGGCTTGGTGAGGTTAGTTTTACTTCCGATTTGTTGTACAAGCAATTGAGTGCCTTCTTTATTTAACATTGATGGTTCAGATATGAGCCTGCCAATCTCAAGCTTCCTATTGATCCTTACTACTTAAGCCTACTAGCCCCTTGGGAGAAAGTAGGATGGGTGTATTACTATATTACTTAACTACGTGTTGCTATTCAACAGGTTTCACCCCTTGAAATTCACAAAGAGAACCTACTAGATGTGGAAGAGCAACTTAAGTGTCTTCTTCATATATTAAAGGGAGCCAAGATCAGCAGCTCCATTCCTTTACTACGGGGCTCATTTTCATCTTGGATTTTCCATGAACTGGGAATACCTGTAGGTGCTCCTATAATTCAGCCCATGCAATTATTTTCGTCTAAAATCAAAATGTCAAATTTAATAAAAGGACTCTTTTTCATGGTGAACCATTTACAGCCACGTTCGATCTATCCAAGTGTTAGATGTGGCTTGGAAATGGCTATTCTTAATGCCATAGCAGGGAGAAAAGGTTGCAGCTTGTTAGATGTACTCCAGCATCGGTTAGTTGAAGAAGACGACTTGTCATCTTCGTCAAAAGTTAAAATTTGTGGGCTGTTGGATTCTGGTGGAACTCCATCTGAGGTAGCTCGTGTTGCTAAGACACTGGTCAAAGAAGGATTTCCTGCTATCAAGTTAAAGGCAAGCTGCATTACCATTTTCTGAAGATTCTCTCTTATTTTCTTTCTGCACAGAGTATTCTCACTGGCATGTATCTCAAGATTTTTTGGTTTACAGAACCTACATTGACTTACTAATGGTTTAATAATTGAACAATTGCAGGTAGCCCGACAAGGGAATGTCATGTATGATGCTGCAGTTGTACAGGAAGTAAGGAAGAAGCTTGGCAACCAGATTGAACTCCGTGTTGATGCCAATCGGAATTGGAGCTATGAAGAAGCTATTTTATTTAGCTCTTTGGTGAAGGACTGTGGCTTGCAATATATTGAGGTACTATTCGTGAATGTATCTCATATATCTGGAATGATATATGACAGTTAAAATTGTATGAACCTTTAAAGAGATGCTAAGATCTTAATACAGTCTTCATGCTATACTGCCTTTGTAGTCTTAACACTTCTTGTTATTCTGGTCATTATTAAGTTGATGTAGTCACGTTGCTCTTTAATTTCTCAACTCAGGAACCAGTTATGGATGAAGATGCTATTGTTAAATTCTGTAAAGAGAGTGGTTTGCCTGTTGCACTGGATGAAACTATCGATGGTATTCAAGATAATCCTGTGAAAGAACTTGCAAAGTATGTTCATCCCGGAATTGTTGCTATAGTAAGTGACATGTAAAACCCTTATTTCTATTCAGTGGTCAAATATATACAAATGCTAGAAACTTTATATTGAAGATGCCCAGTAGACCCCCCAGCCTAGCATAGGAAAAAAGGAAATATGTTCCCTACAAACTCATTTTAGTGAAGAGCCACGAGAAGCACACAATTTTAAAATAGCTGGAAAAATATAAAACAATTTAAAATAAGCTGGAGAAATATAATAATGTCAAAATATATTAACCAAATGTGTCGTTGTTAAAGACTTTCTGTTGGGAGGCTTCTCCTCACTTTAGTATATATTGCTTACTGATCCTGATTTTTTACTGATCTTGATTTTTGATAAGTTGTATTATTCCTTCTAGGTTATAAAACCCAGTGTCATTGGCGGATTTGAAAATGCAGCATTAGTAGCAAGGTGGGCACAGCAACACGGAAAAATGGCTGTTGTTAGTTCTGCATTTGAAAGTGGTGTAGGTTTGTCTGGATACATACACTTATCCTGTTATCTGGAGCTTCAGAATGCAGAAATAAGAAAACTGATGGATATTCAACCAGCTCCATCTATAGCCCACGGTCTAGGAACTTTCCGTTGGCTTGACGAAGATGTAACTGTCAATCCTCTCAGAATTGGTCGTGACCCTCATAGTGGCATTATAGAAGCATCTGCTGCTGAGGCTAATCGACTTCTAAAAAGTTTTCAAATCAACCAGAAGTTTGTTCGTAGAAAGTTTACTGAAGAGCAAGTTCGTAGGTACAAATTAACTGTAGACTCAAAGGGGTTCTCTTATTTAATAAAAGTTCTAGAGGTTGGACAAAGAACAAACGTAAGTAAGAGTTTCAAAGCAATTGTTACCTGCTTTTCCTTTCTGATAACGTCAATCATCTGCTGGTATCATTTAATGCTTCCATATTCATTGGAGCCTTTCATCGCTACGTGATTGGAATCAAATAATTGCTCCAATAAGAAATGTTTGTTACTGAAACGGTGTATTTTTCTTCTAGCAGTAATTTTCTACTACAATAAGCTAGTAGGTTTCTTTCTTTTCAAACACGTGGGGTCTAGTTTCATATGATATGACAGACATGGTGCATTGAAAACATGGTTGGATGAAATCTTTTATTATGACTTCTGAAGCAGAGTTTTTTTCTGTTCTGTTTTGCAGTGTATTTCTTGAACATGCATCTTCATGCATTTGTAGCATCCATTTATTTGTTGTGATGACATCTGCTTAACAATAATTATGACCTGTATCATTATTTTCTTATGTTCCTCCTACTTAGAGCTTCTGCAGGATAATGTGCTATTATTTCTTCATGGATTTCTTGGGACTGGTGAAGACTGGATTACAATCATGAAGGCCATCTCAGGTTCAGCTAGATGCATTTCTATTGACCTTCCTGGTCATGGGGAATCAACAACACAAAAGAATGATTGTGATGTTCATGGTGTGGAGGAACCAAATTTTTCTATGGAGGTTGTTGCTAATCTACTGTATAAGTTGATTCATCATCTTGCTCCTGGTAAAGTTAACCTCGTAGGGTATTCAATGGGGTCTAGGATTGCCATGTACATGGCCCTGAGATTTGCTGATAAGGTTGTTTATGAACCCTGCTAACTTTTCAAAGTTTTTCATATATGTTTAATTCTTAAGAAAGATGAATGTCTGTTTTGAAGATTGGAAGAGCTGTTATAATATCTGGAAGCCCTGGATTAAAAGACAAGATGGCAAGAAGAATCCGGAGAGTTAAAGATGATTCTAGAGCACGAATCCTTAAGGCCTATGGTTTAGAGAGCTTTCTTGAGGCATGGTATAGTGGGGAACTATGGAAAAGGTGATTTTATTAGTTTTATTTTATCATCACCTTGAATTCTATTGTTGAGCCCATTCCTATAATCTTTTACTTTCGTTCCTAGCAGTTTCAGAGAACATCCACATTATAGTCAAATTATTGCCAGCCGATCGAAGCATGATGATGTGCAGCATCTTGCAAAAGCTCTGTCTGATTTAAGCATTGGAAGGCAGCCGTAAGTTTAAAATGGGATGAATCTTCCTATCTTTACAGTTTCTAAAATCTAAATCAAAATTGGCAACAATGTTGGTGAAATGCACATAGACACCTTTATTACCACAACTTTGCATGCATAGTCAAGTTACGGTGGTAAAAGACTCCCAAAGCACCAAAATGTGTATTACAATAAAGCTTTCAAATTGGGAATTAAGTAGAAAGACTACAATCTTTAGAAAGCTGTTTACTTTTACACCAGCACAAAGCATGAAACATAGTCAATTCCAGATTATGGGATGAATCATATCAAGTATTCTTTTCCCTTTCTGCATGATAGGCAATTGTGGGATGAATTAAAATGCTGCAAAACACCTCTTTCAATCATTGTTGGGGAGAAGGATACAAAATTCAAGACAATTGCACAGCAAATTCTATCTCAAATTGATATGGGCAGGAAGATCAAGGATGAACCAGTTGTTGACCTCCATGAAATAGTCGAGATCCCGGACTCAGGACATGCTGCCCATCTGGAGAATCCTCTTGCTGTTATCAATGCATTAAGTAGATTTCTAATAAGGAGTAGAAAACAGTTCTCCTACAATTCAGATTTCTCAGGTACCCTTTTTATAACTTTTGACATCCTAAAATTAACATTGATGTTGATGATTATAAAAATAGTGACCTCAAGCATAATTCTAAATGGCTCGGTATTTATCCTGTTTATTTGTTAGGCCAAGTCGCAATTACGCATGAGAGCCACCTTTTGTAAGGGCGCTGCAGCCTGTATTCAGCATCAAATAAGAGAGTTGGGATTCAGATTCTATAAAGTTGGTGGCTGCACAAGTCTTGGATACATCATATGCCAACATGTACAGGTTCTTAGCGTTTTATTGTCACAGGCAATTATATCCTCCTGTTATTAAGTTCAGTCATAGACAAATTTCTTTTGACTGCCTATAATTATTCTTTGCTGCTATTTTACATAGGGAATGATCTCTTTGAACGGCCTTGAAAATCTTTTATGTTACTATGAACTTGTTTTACAAAGGAATTTGATGTACTCCTAAGAGAGGGTTACTTCTTGTTATATGCTTATAGTTTTGAGAATCAGTCAGTTAGGTCCCAAAATAACATATTAAGCTGATAGAATGCACCGAAATACGAAAGAGAATATCGTAACAAATAACATTTCTGATATAGGCCTTCTAGGAGTAAAATGATACTTCCTTGAACCATGACTTGAGAAATGAAACTATGTTAGGATAAAGTGCTGGAGCAGAAAAATTGAAGCAAACAAATAACTCATAGTTTAAGGTGGAAAGTAATTATCCAACTTGTAGAAAAAATCTTCTCAAGGATTGGGATTCTTCAGCCTGACTAGAAAATGGAATTTCCATTCTTTTGACAACTTTCTTTTTGCTTTCTTGACATACACAAGGTGTCTAGGACTGGAAAATCCGCTTGAAATATTCGAAAGGTTCCTTTTGAATTGGGAGACTTGTACAAGTCTCAGATTGCATGAACTCTATTATTACAGGAAACGTCTGAAATGCTCCCCCCTTGAAACTGATAAGTAGGGGCAACATCTAAATATGTCTTAATCCTGCCATTGTCTCCGGTTGAAAACCGTCTGATACACAGCCCAAATCAATAAAACTACAGCTGAGGCCATAAATGCCATAGAATAGTAGCTGCAAAACCTGGCAATTTTTGGCTTATTAGCAGAAAGCATCAAGGCGTTAAATGCGCCTGAGAATGCCATCACAGTTGAAAGTAGAAAGGCATGGAAAGTTGATGGAAGGCCTTTGAAGATTATAGTAGGCACAGGATTCCCATTCACTTGCTCATAAGGAAACAAGAGAATGAGGGTAACTGTTTTGAAGGAGCAGCACAATATACAGTACATCAGATTGGTTGAAATGTCCAATCTTGAACATGCCTTACCAAGGATGTGGAAATGCTGGGGAAAAGAAGTCTCTGGACTCATATTGATAGCTCCAGCGTTCTTCATTGCTGGACAATATGAGGGAACCTCATTGGGCATCTGTGTTGTTTTGACGTATTTATAGTTGTTGAAGAGTTTATTCTAAGCTGCTTCTGCTGGGAAGCTTCTTATCTAGACTTGATCCAAGAAAGAAAGAAAAAAAAAAGTCCATATGAGAATCTTCAAGGAAACTTCATAAAGCATGGCTGTTGATCTTTGAAGCTTCTGGGAATTTGCACTGATAGGATAGAGGAACTAAAGAGTAAAGAAAAAGTGAGTAAATGAAAGAGAATCCAAAGAGCCATGGAAATGTGTGTGCCTCACATTCCACCAACATATAAAGACCCCATCCCCTGACCCACTTTCCACTAAGAAAAGCAACTACTTGACTTCACTGCTCTTTGCTACCAAATTACTTCACTTTATTCTTTTTTTTTCTTTCGGTTATAACTTGTACATGTTCTTAATTTTAAGCATACATTTAGATTCCATAATTGAAAAAAATTAATGTTTATATTGGTATTATTATTATTTTTAATGTGCATATAAGAGAGGGAAAAATAGTAAAAATATTTCGAATTTATATTTAGTAGCTAAGTGGGAATATAACTTTTCTTCCCAAAGCTCTCTTAAGACATTATAAGTGAGCGACGATCACAAGCATTGAAACTCACCACAGCCATGGCTTCCAATTCACCTCCTCGTCCTCCAGATCCTCCTCCATTTTCCTTTCGTAATGTTATAAAACAAGCTTTATCCCGATCTGCTTCCATATTATCCAAATTAGTTCCTCAATTACACGAAAGTAATTCAGCGAATCGATATCAAGTCATTACCAGATTTATTCACGCAATGGCGCTCAATCGAAGGAGATTCGACGCACTGCAGCATCGCACACTTCCATTGTACGTCGTTAATGAATTCCAGAGCTATCCATTTCCAAGGACGAACCGTTCCAGGAGCGTCGGGGAGAGGAATTTGAGTCTCACTTTTCAGGCGGCCGTAGGATTGCTCGTCTCTCCACAGATTCCACCTTCTCAATTCCTACAAATCGCGAAGGTAATAATGGTGATAAACTATGGAGTTTCGTTCTGTGGCGTTAATCTTCAGGATTCCTTTCCGAGATTCGGAAACAATCTCGAGAAATTCGGTTCAGTACTAACCTCGATGATGTTCTACCTAATGGCGATCTCCTTCCTTCCGGGGAGTTTATGCTGGATAATTTGGTCGGTGTTTGGTCTGTCAATGGCGGCCTTCTTGCTCTCGCTCTTCACATGATCAGTGGAGAGCCCATCCAAAATTAAAAATATAATCAATTGAAGATTATTGTCATTTTAAGGCCTTCCATTATTTTTGAAGAGCTTAAAATGACACCTGACAACTCTGCCTGTGTCGTTTATGTCTATTCGACACAGCCGGTCCCAAGCCCGGGTTGAAAGAGGAGGGGCAACATGTCGTCTTCAGATTATTATTATTATTATTATTATCATCATTGTGACCAAATTTCTGTATAGAAATTGGAAATTTAAAATTCTTTTTAATATTTCATATTTAATTCTTATTTAAAATCATCATTTTGACCGAATATCAATATCTTTTATTTGTGTATTTTTAAAGAAACCTATTTCTTTGTTATGTGGCCCATTTATATCAATTCAATAAGCTCGTGGGCTCCCATCTTCTAATTGGGCTTCATTCTGGGTTTATTGGGCCTTTAATGGGTACATTAAAACCAAATTATACCATGTTAAAATAAATAAATAATAATAATAATAAAGTAGCATTAGCTTCTTAGAAGTATCTATTTAAATTAATTAATTAAAATTGTCTTCAACATTATAAATAAATTCCTTTAAAATATTATTATTATTATTATTATTATTATTATTTTGAAAGAACAAAAAAATGTAGGTTGAAAATAAGAAAAATATGAAGAATATAATATAAAATAAGAAAAACGTGGAGATTTATATTTTGAGGGGTAGCTAATGCTTTTACAACTCTTCAAGGATCTTACTCCCTCAACATCACCAAACAGCTACATTTTCCTAACAATATATATATTCATTTAAATTACTCTAATATTTCTGTTTTATTTATTTAGATGTCACTATTATTAATATAAAGTCGACAAAAAAAAAAAAATGTAAAAATGGTATAGAAAAAAATAAGAAATGATATGGACGTATAACAAATGGATTATGCGTGAAAGACGAGGAGAGTTTGGCAAACCCTTTTAGGTATTAATGTATAGATCCTACTTTGCCTACTCATTTTCGTAACATTTCTAGATAAGATTGTGACGTTTGTGAGAGAGTAAAAAAATATCATCATAGGTGTTCATTTTATCTGCTTCCAATACCGAGCATATTCCCTATTTTTTCTATTTACATAAATGGGGTGGGGGACGAGATTATATTTCATGTCTCTCTTTCCATCCCGTTTAATATAAATATATTTTCAACACACACAAAATTCAACACTTTTTGCAAATAATTTTTTAAATCGTTGCTGCTCGTACACATAGATAACCCATGCAACCGAAGAGATTAATTAAATGTTAACGTGAACAGGCGTGTAAGCAATATTATTGTCCATTTAATTATTAATTAATGAATAATTGATTATATTTTGAACTATAAGAAATTAATTATTACCATTTTAGATTCGTAATTATTTACAAATCTCAAACGTGCCTCCTTTAATTGATGCTTAAAACCTCACTTTATTCCTGCCTACAATCATTATTTTCATTTTTAATTTAAGTATTTAATGTAATACATAATTGGCCATAAATTAAATTACTAATTTATCCGCTACTTTAATTTAATTCTTACAATTTAATATTAATGTCATCAATCTAATCTTACATTATAAAAACATTTCATGCATTTCTATAATCTTACTAATTAAATAAATCTGGTCTTACAAATCATTACCACATTAAATATTTACTACACACGCTTTCTATTTATAAACTAATAAACATGATTTTTTTTTTAAATTTAAATTTTATAAATAATAATAATAATAATAATAATCCAACTTTTGTTTTGTTGCTTTTTCCCCAAACAAGAGCCATTCGGAGTGGAAGCCACGTAATCCGTTAATTAAGTAAATATATATATATATTACAAAAATAAATAAACACCAACTTTAATCATAATCTCTGTCGTTTACACAAATGACAACATTTAATCCAACCTCTAAAATTATTCCAATTCCCACTTTTTTATCTATTTTTTTCTTTTCTTAAAAAATTAAATTTAATTAATTTCATGTTTCGTTTGGATTCTCCTATTTATATAATTGTAATTAAATTTATAATATGAGAGGGAAATAAAAAAAATAAAAAATGGTTGCTTTTAATTTATTTGGTGTGAAATTTATTTGGTGTTTTCAAGTCCCAATGCCAACTAATGATAACGACAGACAAGATATACGCAGAGATAGAGGTTGGAGACACTAATTATTAAATTAATATTTCTATTTATTTCCAAATGTTCAAATTCAATAAATAAATTCTCAATTATTAATATATTTTAGCATAAGCATGCGTCGGATTTCCGATGCTTTCCTGGCCGTCCGATTTGTTTACCTTTCACTTTAGACCCCCTGTTCTTTTGGGGATTTTAAGGTATTTTTTTATTTTTTTATTTCATTTACGAATATTATATTTATTATTACGTGGGTTTAAATATCGGGTGCCTTTTTCCCATTCCGAAATTCTAATTTTATAAATCTTAAAAGCTATTTCTTTTTAAATTATTATATTTATTTAAAGAAAAAGAATTATGGTGAAAGTAAAGTAATGCATAGGTTAATTAGAGGGCGCGATTATCTATAAAGATGGCATTAATTAGATCCTCTAGAACGCACTTCACAGCCACCTTGGAAATAATGGGATTTAAAATAATAATAATACTCATCGCCACGTGGCCCAGCTTTTAGTTTTGTCGCTTCATCAACTGTCTTTTTATGTTTCATTCAAACATCAATAAATACACCTTAAAACCACACAAAATAAAATCCCCTTCGTATGAATTAGTTTTTCTTTTTAATTTAAGAAAACTATATATGTTTTAATTTTCAAAATTATATATATATATATATATATATATATTGGTTTTAGCCCACAGATCGAAATATATGGAACAAATAAGTAAATCAAAAACAACATCGGAGCTTAGAACAAAATAACCTTAAAAACTCTGTTTTTTAATTTTCTAAAATTTTTAATAATACAGAGATATCTGATTGCTACCAATTACAAGCAACAACCAATTTTTTGCCTTACTTACCAAGTTTTTGTTTTAATGATATGATAACTCGTTCTAAACAATGCCCTCTTTCTCTTTTAATTTGACATTCAGACTCATTTATTAGGTTTGGTACAAAACTTACGTTTTGGGTTTATAATCCATTTTATCGAAGGTTTGGATATGAATTTGATGACCCATTTGCTGTTTTTTAATTATTGGATTGGATTCTCATTTGCGTAGTGATACTCTACCTAATATAAATTATCCTTTTCAATTCATAGATGGGTTTCTTAAAAGTTAAAGAGTTGTGTAACTTTAGAGAGAAAGAAAGGCAAAAAAACAAAAAGGGAGGAGAAAATTAGAGAGGAATTCAAATTTCAAAAAGTAGAGAGATGAAAATGGAAAGGGGGAGTAAAAGATGTGAAAAGAAAACCCATATTAATTTATTCATCTTAATGGTTTTAATGATCAAGAGCTCTCATTTTCATGCAAGTTTGGCTATAAATGCACGACCTTTACTGTTCTAGTTTCCCTTTCACCATTGCTTAAATAACCCATGTCTCTGCGTAACTTTACACTGCCAATCTCTCCTTCCCTCTCTGTATTTGATGCAATAAAATCTTCCTTTTTCTGTGCGAGCATCTCTCTGAGGCGTGGCAGAGCCGAGGCTTGGGGTCTGCGCTCAAAATTTTGAAAAGGGGTTCCAATATGAAGCTCAAATTCAATGGAATTTACTCGAACAAAAGCTTGAATGAGCTATGGAGTACTGAAAGTGGTGCGTTTTGTGAAATGGGTATCTTTCTCTTCCTACTTTTGGTGCCGTTTTGTTTCTCTGTGATTCAGAAATTGGTTTGTTTTTCTGGCTAGGGCTGTGAACCCTCTATTTATTAGGCTGAAATCAATGCTCTCTTCTCTTTGAACTGTCGCTTTTAGTTTCTGTGGCCTTTAGGAGCCCTTCATTTTCTGCTGTTTTAGTACTTTTAAGCTCCCTCGTTGCTTGGGAAATGATAGCTTCATAAATAATGTCTTCTGGTTCTGTTCTTTAATTTCTTGCTTACAAGCATTTACTGTTGGCTCCTTCAGATTCTTCCACTATTTATTCCCTTTCCTGAATTGGGGGAGTTTGTATAAGGGAAATCCATAGATTCTGCTTGGAGGGAGTAGATTTTGAAGTTTGTGATCAAAAGCTATTGCAAAAGTTGCGTATCTTAGTCGACATATTATGGATAATTCTATCAGCTGTACGCATAGCATGTTTTCGGATATGAGATTTGGCGAGACGACTCTCACCAGTATGCCAGTGGCTGTGGGTGAGCCATTTAGCTCTACTGTTTGGGAACAAGCAGCTAATTCCCAAAACATGGGAACTAGCAAGGCCAGTGGCTGTCCAGTTTCTTTGAGCACTGATATCAGCTGGAACCTATCACATAATATGTTTAAAGGGGGGATTTATCTACCTCACGGCATGCTCCCACAGAGCTTATCTCAACTTCCAGCTGATTCTTCATTTATTGAGCGTGCAGCCAGGCTCTCCTGTTTTAGTGGTGGGAATTTTGGTGATATTGTTGGCCATTTCAACATTCATGAGCCTCCTATGAGTGTTTCAATCCCTGAGAGATGGGATGAGATTCCACGAAATGGGTTAGGCTTGGTTTCTGGAATTGAAGGACAATCTCAGAGAACTAATGAACATGGAGCTGCTGAAAATGGAAGCCCTTTGAAAGTGGATGATCGTGGTAAACAAGCTACTGATGGTTCTTCTGCTAATGAATCTGATGAAGCTGAGTTTAGCGGCGGTGATGGGCCATGTGCGTTAGAGGTCACAGCCAACCAAGTTTCTGCCAAGGGCCGGAAAAGGAAAAGAAGTGGACAGGTAATGAATAATGATTCTTGTTCTGATCAACCCAATGGACCTCTGCAACAAGCTACTGTTTCAGCTAAGAATGATACTCAAAATCAGCCAAAAAGAGATCAAAATCCAAGCTCAAATGCTAACAAGGCTGCAGGAAAACATGGTAAGCAGGCGTCTCAACCTTCAGATCCACCAAAGGAAGAGTATATTCATGTTCGAGCTCGACGGGGCCAGGCGACAAACAGCCATAGTCTTGCAGAGAGGGTAATATACGTTGCATTCAATCTTTGAAACCATGTAAGAAAACGAGAAGTTGACTGAGTTTGAGTTCTGTTATAGGTAAGGAGGGAGAAGATCAGTGAGAGGATGAAGTTTCTTCAAGAACTAGTCCCTGGTTGCAGCAAGGTTTGATGGTTAAATTTGTACCTTACACACTTGAATCACATCAAAATCTCTATGTTCACTCGATTAAAGTTCTATGATGCAGGTTACCGGAAAGGCGGTGATGCTAGACGAAATCATTAACTATGTCCAATCGCTGCAACAACAAGTCGAGGTATGAAAATCAGTTCAACTTCTTCGTAGCAAGTAGCATATATACTTCTGGTTTCTAAATCTTTGTTTGAACTTCCATGAGATTTGCAGTTCTTATCGATGAAACTCGCTACCGTGAATCCAAGGATGGATATCAACATCGACAGGCTCGTAGCCAAAGATGTAAGTGTAATTTCACCTTAAAAACATCGAAGTTCTCGAGACAATCAGTTCATGCACATCCTGGTTCTAACACACATTGATTTTGTCTTAGATTCTTCAATCACAAGCTGGTCCGTCGTTGACATATATGCCCACCGGTTGTCCCCCGCCTTGTGTTTCTCATCATCGACTTATTCCAAGCGGTTTTTCTGCCATAGGGAGCTCTGAGATGTTAAGGAAAATGAGTTCCCAGATGAATCCAAGGTCTAATGGATTTAAGGAGCCTTCTCAGGTAGAAACTCAAGCATCTTGATGCTTATTTATCAATGGTTTGTTGAATGTATAAAACTATGTCCACAGATAAAAAGTGTGTGGGATGGTGAGCTCCAAAACATTGTGCAGATGAGCTTTGGGATGTCCACTACCCTCAATTGTTTAGAACTCGAAGGTAAAATAAGAACTACCCGTCACGACGTAAACATCGAAACTCTGTCCCGAAATCGTTGAACTCAAATAGAAATTGGTCTGTTCTTGCAGGATCTGATTCACCAGGCAATACAAAAGTTGCACGTTGAAATTTCTTCTTAATTGCCACGAACCATTTACGCTGCGTGTACAGGTGCATTAGTATTAGTATTAGTATGAGATTCATCATAGCCACGAACTATTTCTACTTCGTGGTAATTTGATATAAGAAATACGATTACTGTATTTGGAGCTGCGTTACTCTAGCTGGTGATTGATTCGGAGCGACAGATATCGACCGAGGCAGTAAATTGCCCCGTGACGATCGCCCCAAAATCAACGACCTGGTAGAGAAACTAGTGTCCGATCTCGTTAGTTTAGATTATAGGAGACGCCTTGTCTTAGACGATGTACAGAAGTCGATATCGAGATCTGGAAAGCAAGGAACATCAGCTTTTGGTTGGTAGTGTGTGTAGTTTCATTAGCTGAAGTGGGTTGGCTGTAACTTTTACAAGTCGAGGAATTTATTGCAAGTGTCAATGAATTTGCGTTATTCGAGCGGGTCAAAACCCGACCCATTTCATTAACGCATTTTGCTAGCCCGTTTGTTTTTGTATTGGGCCTACTGGGCTTACCGGAAACTAGGCCCAAATTTCGTAAAAGCAGGAGTATAATTACAACAATCCATGTTTGTTTCACGTAAACTATGGGTTTTCTATACAAATTTATTGTATCTAATTATTAATTATAATAAATCAATAAGCATTTATTTAAATATATATTCAATTTATTTTGATAAAAAAATTTAAATAAATGAATTACTTATTTACTAAAATTAATAATTAATTAGATGATGGTATCTTAAATAAATTAAATTGATTAGTTAGCTTATAAAAATCAATTAATAATTTTAGTAATCAAGTAATTAATAAAAATTTAATTAAGTGTTTTATTGTAATAATTATTTTGAGCATAAATATTTTCTGAATTTTTAAAATAGTGTAGGGTGAAAAGCTTGTTTTGTTAATAAATTATTATAATGGTATAAAATTGGTAAGTATATTTCATATAATATAATTTAACCTATGTGTACAAGATACATTTAATTTAATATAATTGTATAATTTAGTAAATCTTATTTGATAGAGACATGCATCTCTAAAGAGAGTGGCACGACCAACACATCATCCCAGAAGCGAATCAGCTTACCATTGTGCAATCGAAGTCTAGCCCAAGTTCTGCCAGAAAGTTTCTCTCTACCAAATAATACCCTTTTTTTAGAGGTGGATTCAACCATTCATTTTTACCAATGGAGAGGTACTTAGGAGCAAAATATGAACACGACGATTTTTTTTTTTTTTTTTTTGCAATGAAAATTCATTTAAAGATATTGAGATCAATCTCGTGGCAATTTCCTCTTCAAATCACATGAAATTTAAAGGAGTAGGAAAGTTGTCCCCTCTAAATTCAGATTATAGTGAGGTCATTAGAGATGACTATGGAGGCTATGGTGCTATCCCGTGGAATTGAATAGATCTTCTTTAGAGATCAAAGATGTGATATGGCCTTTTGTCCAAACTAATTATTCTTTTCTAGCTAACTTGAGTGTTAGGATGTCATCGTGGATGGGAGGCCTTCCATTTCACTCTTTCTCCTCCCACTTATCATCTCTCTGTGGCACTTTTTCCTTCTTCAAGATAGACATTTTTATTGAGAATGCTTAAGGTCCCTTTGTTTTTGTTTTGTAATCTCCGAGCTCTCGCAAATCGAAATTGAGTCCCATAAGGAAAAGCTAGTTGGATAAACAAGACAGAGATCACCTACTCGACAATGCTACCTTGGAGAGGATGTAAAGCTAAGCACTCTAATATAAGAACGGAAACTCATATTCAAAAGCTTTTTTCGACATATGAACCCTATGGAAGGGTGGGTGAACATTGTTGTAACTCGTAAGATGATTAGCATGAATGAAGGATCGTTACTCTTAATCATAGTAGATAGTAGACTTACACTGACCTCAAAGTCAACGTCAAAGGATGAACCTGGTATATCTATGCAATAAACCAAATATATATATATAAATATATATATATATATATATATATATATATATTAGGTTATTTAAAGATAAGTTTTCCCATTTGATGGGACTTGACGTTACTCGCTTGATATATTGTTTTCCCAATTATTTATTTTTGCTGACAGGACACTCTCCCAATCGCATCTCAAGACTCCACCAACCCCATCACCGTTCCTGACACACTCTCTCTCAGCGTCTCAAATCGCTGCCCCGCCTGCCCTCCTCGCCCACCTCCCTTCTCTTTGGACAATTTCCTATTTGTTCTTTGTTTTTCTTGATCTCCAATGCCGATTTCCGTACTCCAATTCAGAAACATGTTTCCAATATAAATACCCACTCTCCCTCATTCCTTCCTCAGCCTTCAACCACATCTGGTTCCAATGGCGTCGCCTTCATCGCCATTACCCCATCTTCTGCTTTTTCCATACCCAGCTCAGGGCCATATGCTTCCACTTCTTGATCTCACCCATTTCTTAGCTTCTTATGGTTTCCCCATCACCGTTTTGGTTACCCCCAAGAACCTCCCCATCCTTCAACCTCTTCTTTCAGCCCACCCTGCTGTCCAAACCCTTGTTCTCCCCTTCCCTTCTGTCCCCGGTTTGCCTCCCGGCGTCGAGAATATCAAAGACATCGGCAACGAAGGCAACGTCCCCATCATAGTGGCTCTCCGCCAACTCCAAGACCCCATTGTTGCGTGGTTCAAATCCCACCCTTCACCTCCCTCCGCCATCATTTCTGATTTCTTCCTTGGATGGACCCAATCTCTCGCCCAAAAGCTTCAAATTCCTAGAGTCTCCTTCTTCTCCTCTGGCTGTTGGGTCGTTGATGTCCTCGATTACTGTTGGCGTCACGTACCTTCCGAAGAGTTCCGTAAATCCCCAGTGAAGCATATGGCTGAATTGCCCAATTCCCCCTCCTTCACTAATCAGGACTTGCCGGAATTTGCCACCGCGTACCGGGATTCTGACCCACTATTCAGTACCATAAGAGCCGACTGGTTTGAAGCTAGGACCTGCTGGGCTCATGTTTTCAATACCTTCGACGAGTTGGAGCCCGAGTACTTGGAGTTCTACAGGAAATTAAACAACAACAAGAATGTATTTGGAGTTGGACCGCTAAGCCTCGTCAAAGGGCACAACCCAACTGTGGAATCGAGTTCAGATGAGGTTCTGAAATGGCTTGATGAACGCCCCGATGGTTCGGTGCTATACATTAGTTTTGGGAGTCAAAAGCAACTGAATCAGCAGCAAATGGAAGCACTGGCATCCGGGATTGAGAAAAGCGGGACTCGATTCGTGTGGGTGGTTAAGACAATTCGTCAAACAGATGGTGGGTCCGACGGAATCCCAATCGGGTTTGAGGATCGGGTGTCTGGTCGTGGAATGGTGGTGAAGAGATGGGTACCACAGGAGGCGATACTGAGGCACAGAGCCGTGAGAGGGTTTCTGAGCCACTGCGGGTGGAACTCTATACTGGAGAGCCTAGCGAGTGGAGTACCAATATTTGCTTGGGCCATGGAAGGAGACCAAATGATGAACTCGAAGATATTGGTGGATCAGATTGGAGTGGCGGTGCAAGTCTGTCATGGGGATAACTCGGTGCCTGACCCGGACCAACTGGGGGAGGTCCTCGCCGAGTCTTTCAACTCCGACAAACTGAAAGCCAAAGCCAGAGCTCTGAGCAAAGCCGTGGCGGATGCAACTGGCCCCAATGGGAGTTCATTGAGGAACCTGCAAGAATTTGCCAAGAAGCTGGCCAGCCTTCCTCCACCAACCAAGTGACTTCGCTGCCAACTCATGTGTATGGCCTTGTCTTTATTTCAAATAAAATTGACCGAACCTTAATTGTCTTCCCTTGGTTCTTGCTTTTCAACATCTGGTCTACTGTTTATCTTAGTCTATTCGAAATTCCAACTTTTTCAATCAGTTTATATAACGTCTTGGCTAATTGAGTCTTATCAATTATATTCATGAAAAATATAATCTAACCTTAGTAGTTCATTAATTTGACAGTAATTCTCAACTTGACCTCCTTCCCCACCCCCAAAGAAAAAGTTCAACCATTTCATGTGTTTGAGAAACATTCAGAGAGACCAAAACAATTAATTGAGAATTACCCAAACGATTAAGGGCCAATTTTTATTATGGTAAAGTTCAACAAATTCTTTTTATTATGCTGTCGAATTGTAAACGTTCTTTTCTTCCTTATTTGCATGAAGATCAGGGCAGCATCTGGTATCAATATAATAACTGATAGGAAAAAAGATCTTACCACTTGTTCTTCTTTGTTGTGAGCTATCCTATCAGAGATCAAATATGTTTGATTTATCTTTAAATCCCTTCAAGTATCAACAGTTGCCTCTTCGGATCAAGTATCGACCATCCTCCATGCTTAATAAATACAGACGGGAGTTCTGAAAGTGATGCCCCTCTAGATTCCGAAAATTCCTGCACAACGAAATTGCTAAGAAATAAGTAAAAAAGATTTTTTTCCTCCTGAATGGCAACAGTTGAGAAGGGGCTCTCCCATCATTTACTAATTTTAAACTTTTCCCCTCAATCAGAAGATATCCTACGAGCCTTTGAGAGGCTATATACCTTACTTTCTATTCGAATCGCTGCAAGGAATCAGGCTCAGCCTATTCGTAGTACAACTTGTCATAACCACTCTATAAGACTGTCTGCTGCAGCCTCCAAGCTGGGAGAGCCCATAAGGGCCATTGACATGATTTTCCTTTCGTTGCTTATCTGAGGCATAAAGTTTGATACATGCGACAGAGGGAAAATTATCCCTACATCCTGCAACATGAACAAGCAAGCAAGTCATATAACTGATTGCTAACTTCCTTTGAAGGTTTTAGCAATTTTAGGGAGAGGAAACAATAATAACACAAATGAGCGATTGCTTCCTACCCATGATAGTCTCATGAGAAACTCATAAAGGAAGTCAAAGGTTTCAAGATAACAATCAAGAATTTTAATGTGCCATACCCACAGTAACTGAAACTGAGGGTAAAGGATTTGATATGTGTAAGACATTCAGCATGATCGTTTCATGTTAAGCTTGCCCTCGCGTAAAAGTACATGGATATAGTTGCAAATACTCGAGCTGAAAGAAATGTGACCATCAAGTTGAATAAATTGGGAAAACCAGAGTTAATTTGATATAACTAGAGAATGGTACTCTATGAGAATAACAACCTCTCCTAACACCGATATTCTGGATCCATGCATTGTAAATAAAATTAGAATCTAGGGGAAGAATTCATCCTTGAATTTTGATCAAGTTCATAACGCTCACCTGTACCTCAGATGCTATCCTCTTATGCCAAAAGATAGTTATCTGGAACTGCGTGATGTGATCGACTGATCTCTTCTGATGGATCAATGTGAAATGACGCCAGATTTAACCATCACAGCAAGAAATTCAAATACTGAACTGCTATTACCATGTTGATGGAAAGCATTAAGCATTGTCTCGAAAATTTCAGAATCAGGAGTTACACCTTCAGATAACATCATAGCAAAGAAGTACTTTGCTTCAGTAATTAGACCCCTTTTGCACAGCCTATTAATGATAGCACTATAATCTCTGATGGAAATGACAAAACTCCTAGCCAACATTTGATTGAAGAACCCTAATGCTTTAGACACCTGACCCTTTGCACAATGTGCCTTAATAATTGTCATATAAGCAACTTTTGTCAAGCTAATATTTTGATCCTCCATAGAAACCAGCATTCGATCAGCATCCTTTAGGTCGCCATATACACAAAGACCACTAATAAGTACATTATAAGTTACATGGGTGGGATCAAGATTATGGAGCAACATCTCATTATAAACCTGGAAAGCTTTTGCAATGTCTCTGGCCTTGCAAAAACATTGGATAATAGTATTATATGTAATCTGATCAGGCATTAGACCCTTTGCATACATATACTCAAGCAACTGGAGGGCTTCATGCATTTTATTCTGTCTGCAGAGCCCTTTGATTAGTACAGTATAAGTTATATGAGTTGGAACAACAGCATTTGCTTCCATCTCATGCAGTAGATCAAACATTTCCTGCATGTTTCCCGCTTCACAGTACGCATTCATAAGGGTAGTATAAGTTACTACACTGGGTAGCAATCCATTCAACCTAATGATTTCGAACATCTTTCGAGCCTCCACTAGGTCTCCATTTCTGCAAAACCCATGGACAAGAGTGTTGAAAGTGACAACAGTCGGAGTAATCCCCCTTTCAAACATTCTGTAATATAGCTGCATAGCCTCAGAAATATCACCAAGCCTTACGTAACCATCAATCATAATATTATACAAAATCACATCCTCTATCAGATCCATATGAGTCAAAGCATCAAAATATTTTCTTGCCTCAGAAATATTTCCATTCTCAAAGAAACCCAAAAGTACTGCACGTTGAGCAAAGTAGTTAGGAAAATTTCTCTTCAAATGCATTTGTTCATATAGTTGGTAAGCCCTTTGTACAAACCCTTCCTTGCAGAGGCCATGAATGAGGATTGAATATACTATAAGATCAGGTTTCAAACGTAGAGTTTCCATTTCATTGAGCAATGCCAATGCTTCGTCTATTCGTCCAACTTTACACAAACAGCTAAGTAGCACACTGTAAGAAATGATGTTCAACTGAAACCCCCTTGAAAGGGTTTCTTGCCGCAGCTTAAGGGCTTCCTCAATATTGCCCATTTGACAGTGCCCACATATCAGTATTGTATATGTTACGATATCCGGATTTAGACCTTTTAGCAACATTTTCTGGACGACTTTCCAGGCCCCACTCATAAAACCAAGCAAGAGAAAGCCTTTAGCAAGTGTGTTGTATGTTACTACATCAGGTTCCACACCATGCTTTTCCATGTCATCTGTGAATTCCAGAGCTTCGTCCATGGAACCTGCTACACATAACCCATGAATAAGAATATTATAACTGTACGAATCAGGAAGAAGTCCATTCTTGACCATCAAACAGAAAAATGACCTTGCAACATCTACTAGCCCCACTTTACAAAACTTTGACATAACGGTATTGATAGACACAATAGAAGGTCCAACTACTTCATTGCTGTCCTGTAGGAATGAAATCGCATTTTGTAACTTGGATTGCGCACATAGGCCATGTATAAGTATTGAGGTAGTATATTCACTCTGAGGAGCTCCACTAGCTTTGATCTCATTGCATATATCCCACATAACATCAGTGTGCCTCAAGTTATGCAATAGAGAGTTATAAGTTGGAACTGAAGCTTGTAAATTTAGATCCTTCATCTTTGCGATGACAAAGAGGGCATCATGGATCATTTCATGTCTAGAATACGCAAATGCCAGCATATCCCATACCACACCATTTGAATCCCAATTCCTGAATTTGTTCAAGAGCAGGTCACAAAAGGAAGATGCAGAACCCGACCCTACCAGAGAGTAAATATCGAGAGACATAAACAACATGAAATAGACATTCCAATGTTATCACAAAAATGGGGGTTGATGAATGAAAAAAATAAGGATGGTCTAAAAGAAGTAAGTTACAAAGAAGAGGTTTATATATTCATCAAAGAAACAGGGAAGGCATGAAAAGAAAGCACTGTGCTTTTCAACTGCAGAAAATGTGGGGAATTAGTCTCCCATTTTTTTTTACCCTTAAGTATGCACATTATCATGATAATTATGAATCTCTTAGTTCAGCCAATATACACACTAGGCATTAAGAAAGAGAATGCCCGACTTCTCTGCTTTTCATATCAGCCAATCAATCATGAAGAAAGAGATGCCAAGAACCGATACCTTGCTCCTCAACCAATTGCTTTATAACGCAACGCAACTCCTTGAATCTTCCTTTACCCGCTAGAATATGAGAAACGGCAAGCTGGGAGAACCCGGAATGCCGAAATCCGTACTTATTTCTTAACAGATAGAAAAATGCCACAGCAACATCAGGATTCTGAATAGTCAAACTCTCAAGAACGCCGTCCACTACAGTTTCACTCAAAGTAGAAACTACAGTTTGAAAGTTACGTCCACCAACATACGCTCTAAACCCAAAGGAATTTAAACCCGTAAGAATCTCACGAACTGGGTCATTCTGGCCCAGAACGAAGGAGGGAGTGACGGATTCCGCTTCGAGGCGGGCGGAAGAAACTGAAGGCCTAGCAAGGATCACAGAACTAAAAGAATCGAGTATCCCGCATTTCCTCAGAAAATGAAATGGCTTCCATTGATGAATACGGCTAAGCATGGAAATGGGAGCAGGATTGGAAGGAAACCCTGCCGATTTCTCGTCTAAGACAATGTGAAATTAAAAGCAACAAAGATAGGGATAAGTTAGAGGGATCGGAAAGCAGTATGAAACGAGGTAAGGAAAGGGAGTTAGGGTTTTAGCAAACCGATGGGTTTCGCGGCAATTCTGAAAAGGGCGGCAGCCACCGTTGGTTTTGGGTTGCTGCCGTTTTCAGCCATTGATAGCGCGAGCAGATTTGTGTAATTTCCCCCAAAGGGTAGAAACGCACCGTTTTATTTGGCATGACTTTATAGTCCTCAAACTTAATTTGTTGGGGGGCTTAGCTTTTGCCTATTTAAGTTATTAAAATTTTATATATTTACAGGCAAATATTAGGTAAAGTTAAAATATTTGGTAAAAAAAAAATATAGGTGAAAATTTAAATAAAATATTAGGCAAATATTATGTTGTTCGAGTCATTTATTCAATTTTTTATTTTAAATAAAAGTAATATGTTAGTTTATAAAACATAATGTTTGTAATACAGAAACAAGTCTAAGTTTAAGAATTAAACCCATTAATTTATCCAATAAAACTTGAATTCCGCCGCTCTTTCTCTAACGTGGAAATATGGATTATGTTTCGTAACTCAATTCACATTTAGTTCAAGTCGTTGAAAACCTTTCTTTTCACTAAGAACACACTTTTTAAAAACCGTTATTTCAAATAGGCTCTACATCCAATACATGTCTGAAACGAAACGTTATTTAAGAACTTGACAACGACGCTTGTAGAGGGGAAGCTAGAACATATGAAGCACCAATATATACATATACATTGAAGAAGAAGGCCCAAGAAAAGTAATGGATGGCATATCTTAATCTATGCAGGCAATGGGTAAGCCTCAAACTTTAAGGTAAAGGAGTAGGAACTAAGAATGTCATGCCCTGATGGCCCCATTCACACTTGCTTTGAGACAAACAGTACAACTAAAACAGGATTATTGCCTGTTTTAACTTCTTTTCTTCTCTATGTTTTGGATTTTTCCCATTTCCAGTCCATTTTTAGCTCATCTTTTACTCATAATGGAGCCTAACAGTCCTTACAACCCAACTGCCAAACACCAAAGACTGTAATCATACAGAAACGAGGAGCTTTTATACTAATTTGTCTCCAAAATTGAGGAGATTTCGAGTATAAAACAGTGAAGATATTATAAACTTGTATGGGGTTTTTGCTTGAAAACTAAGTAGCAAATATGGTGATCCATAATTTTGAAGCTCACATTTCACCAACCAAGTATGGTAAGTGTGGGAAATATGGTAAGCCAACTCAAACATCAAACACTTTATAATCTGAATCCACTTTTATTTCAAATTGTGCCATTAAGCCTTGTCTTCTTTGTTCAGTATGTCATCCAAAGCCACTGTTAGAAGGCGAATTCTGGAGAGGCAAACATGTCCTAAAGAGAAAGATAGAACAAGCCAAAACATATTGTCCAAACACCTTAAGAAGATTTACCCAATTGGGCTTCAAAGAACCACTTCATCACTCTCTTTATCTTCATTATCATTGTCTTTGTCCCAAAATTCAAATGATTCTTCACTTACAGACTCCTCGATCCAACTCGATCGGAAGATTTCGTATGCGATTCGTTTGATTACGCCACCGCCACCTCCTGAAAGAAGAGAAGCTCCATTGCCTAAGAGTGTTCAACAACAATGTCAGGAACTTGGTGATGGGGAACTCAGGAGGTGCAACTGGATCACTCATACCAGTGGTAAGATTACACTTAGTTCTGATATGGACTTAGAAACAGTACAACTTAGAATACTTTCCACCACATTGCTACACTAGTTCATGCTTGACGTTTCTATCTCGTGTACTCAACGCAGATAAAGCCTATGTATCCTTTCACGACGAGTGTTGGGGCGTCCCAGTGTATGACGACAAGTAGGTGATCTAAGTAGCTTTTCATTTATCCTGCATGTCAATTTATAGATTTGTGAGTTTACATCAGAGAAAAATTACCATACAGCCGACTTTTCGAGCTGCTCGCTCTATCGGGGATGCTGATGGACTACAATTGGACTGAAATTGTGAAAAGAAGGGAACTATTCAGGTAATATTTTCTGATCCAATGTGTACTTTAGATGAACATCTATGAGATGATAAATATATATACACATTTGGTTGGTCATAGAGAAGCTTTTGCTGGATTTGAGGCAAGTACTGTGGCTAACATGGGGGAGAAAGAGATATCAGATATAGCATCTGACAAGGCCATTATGCTGGTGGAGAGCAGAGTGAGGTGCATAGTAGACAATGCCAAGTGCATATTGAAGGCAAGCTAGATCAGCTCATTTTTGAACCAACTCTTTCACAGAATGTATATTAACAAGAACAACTGGTTTTTTGATTCAACTGCAGATAGCTAGAGATTTTGGGTCGTTCAGTAACTATATGTGGAGCTATATGAACTTCAAACCAACAATAAACAGATTTAGATATCCAAGAAATGTTCCCCTGAGGAGTCCCAAAGCAGAAGCCATTAGCAAGGACATGGTGAAGCGCGGTTTTCGGTTTGTTGGGCCAGTGATCGTCTATTCGTTCATGCAGGCAGCAGGGTTGACGATCGATCATCTTGTGGACTGCTTTCGGCATGGCGAGTGCGTAAATCTTGCAGAAAGACCATGGAGACATATCTGAGTTCAACTATTCCTACTTTCCCTTCGAAGTTGTGGTTGTTTTGCTTTTGTGAGCATTAAGTTAACAATATAAAAAATTATGCATAGAGAAAGAGAGAGGAACTAAGATGGAACTTCTCTGCTTCTTTGTTTATCAGTTTCTGTTAGAATGGCCAGTTCTGCAACTGAGAAACTCATCAGTTGATATCAAAAAGTGCAGAGCTCAGCATTACAACAGTTGCAGAGTGGCCATGGTAATCGACAAGCTGAAGCTGGTGGGGAATAAGATTGGTGTATTTAATTTGTTTATGCTTCTAATATATAACTAATTATTTTAGATGTTTGGTGTGGATCTCTTGGGTCAAAATTGCTTATCTATGAGCTTTCTCATACATTCTAAACAAGCTCTCATTTCCTAAGACACTAAGAACCAAGAATGTTCTTTGTTCATGAAGAACTTCAAGATACAACTAAGTTCATCAAAGCAGACATGACCATAGAAAACTGCAGTCTAGTTACAGTTCATAGATCCAAATATGTAATACATACCTCCTTATATCATCCCTCACCTCGAGAAATGTCGATCGAGTTTCGAGATAGCACTCCAAGCCTGGTCCTTCAAATTGGCTGAGAATCAAGTCCATAGATCATCTGTCTCCCCCATCTGCTGGGCCAAAAAGGCTTTTACCACGTCACTGATATGTTCTTTATCTTATTTGAAAGGCTATATGATAAGATGTAGGCAATATTATACTTGGAGATCTTTTACTAAGATTAGTTGAAATTCGATCGAAGTCATCCTGCTACGAAGGATTCTCTCAATCTGTGAGATCCCAACACATCAGTTGAAGAGGAGAACAAAACAATTTTTTGTAAGGGTGTGGAAATCTTTCTCTAGCAAATGCATTTTAAAAACCTTGAGAGGAAGGCCGAAAGGGAAGACTCAAGGAAGACAATATCTGCCTTATAGTGAATTATTTTGTTGGTGAAACTCCATTGAAGTCATCTACTGAATTATAGTGAAGCCTTCAACCATTCTGTTGTTTGAGATTGCTTAAACTTCTCTCCAAGGGAAACAGGAAGATAGGTTTCAAGACCCACAATTGTCTCTATCCGCCTTCCTCCCAATCAATGAATCATTTTAGCTTGGATTATAAACCATCCAAAGAATAAAAGACAGGTTGCCAAGAAAAAACAAAACAGGTCAAATCGAGAACTTGTTCCACCTCAGCTGTTCTTTCACCTGTTATAATCTCTATCCACACTTTTTCTTTCCCTTCCACCATTCTTCAACCTAACTACTTGATTAACTCATCTTAATCCCAGTAATGGTCGGGTATGTTCAAGTAACAGCGACTGTTGAATTGCATATGCTCACCAAACATCCTAGTAGTAAGCAGTGTCTGAAGTTTGTTATATGGTACTCACCAAAAAATGAAATCCCAACAAGAACAGAGTAGGCAGTAGCGAGAAGATTGATGAATCGTATAAAACGATCAAATTAGATTGATGAATCGTATAATCCAAGAAGTTCGATAATCGAATGATCAGTTCATACGTAGGTAGTAGCGAGAAGGATGAAGCTGACAAAGAGAATGAGCAAAACAGTGGAAGAAAAGATCAAAGTTCTGGTACAGATCCACCATTAGGACGAATTTCAAATCAACTGGAATCAAATAATTCATCCATGGGTCCCAAACGATGAATGAACTTTCTTCACTGATTATAGCGACCCTACTTTGTTTCTTCTTTTTATGCAATAACAAATAGCTTTAATCATTTTTCCACTAGTTAATACTTAATACAAGAAAGAACATGATGACTCCTGTCCTTGTCGAATAATACAGGCTCAAAGGGTTGAACATTACTGAAAGAAAAAGGGAAAAAAACCGACACGACGGCACAAAAGAGCAAAGAAAGAACAGCCTACAGACGGCAGCCTACTGCATTAGTAAGAAAAGAGAGGCGATACAACCGAAAAGTACAGAGGTTATCAGACTGTCCACAAAATATATTTTAGTAATTAAGAAGTCTACAAGAAATTCGGGTGAACAAAAAAGAAATAGGGCATCATATTGGCACACAGCATCTGGCTGAAGGAAAAAGAATATAAGAATGAAGTTAAAGCAAGGTACAGAACATAAAGTACCCTATTTACATTGCACCTCTTTCAGGGTTTTAATTTTGCATACAATTTATTTATCAAACAAGTTGACAAGTCAAAAGGGGAAGAAGAAGAGGGCAGGAGGGAAATACCAAGGAATACAAACAATTCTACTCCGCTGATGAGAAGAATATATACAGCAAGTTCCTCTTACTGAGCTCCAACATGAGCCCTATGTCGAGGCTTAAAACCCATAATGCAAGCCAATCCTAATACTGAGTCGTCCATAACTTCCATAATTCTAATGCTATGATTTAATCTATAATGGCTCTATCATCACAGCAACACACTGAACCTCGTCATCTCAAAACTGGCAAGAAGTACCAAGTCTCTGCCTCTGCCTCGGCCCGAGAGCTGCAGATTTGCGTTTGGCAAATGCTGGGCGAAGCAGCTCTGGAAATTTATCCAGGAACA